ATTTCTTTGAAATATCTTCTCTTGGGATTCCAGTATGTTAAAAAGGAAAATAAAATGCTACTTAATAGATAGTACATAAGTGCAATCATTGACCATGCCAGTAATGACCAAAAAGCCAAAAAGATGTTCCTGGCTTTTGTAGACTTGAAAAGTGAGATTTAAACTGAGCTCATCCCTCCCCACAGACATCTAGAGGAGAAAACCTCACCAGCTGGTTGCAGGTGTTGGATTAGTAGCCCTTCAAAATAAGGGTTTCTGCCCAGAAACAGAAGTACAGCTTTCCATAGCAGCCTCACTTGGACACCTGCAGTTTACCCTGAATGAAACAATATCAGAAAGGACTGTTTTTCAACCAAGAGTCATCACGCAGTTTTGTAGCTCACCACTAACCCATCGAAACCCACAGGTATATTGCAAATGGGAAAGAGGAGGGGGGACCTGGTCTCTCTGCAGACCACTATTTCCAAAATTGCAAAGGTGATATTTTTGAGCCAGCAAAAAAATGCTAGGTATTTAAATGGGAAAATAAGATGAAAAAATCTTCACAAGGCACAGGGAGATTTTAGTCTAATGAAAATATTAATTTTTTTCCCTTTTACTTGAAAGTCAGAGATTTTATCAGCAGCAACTTTATTACCTTGTTTTGTGTTTTTCACTTCATCAATTGCATGTTTTGACCAGTATGAAATTTCACTAATAGGGCTATTTTTTCTAGGCATGTGCTTAGATATTTTTCAGAACCTTACCGGAGTATCTGTTGGGGAACAAATTTGGCCACAGACTTTGAATGGTGATGGAGTTATCTGTATGCAGGTGGAACTATTTTGGCAGGTTCTGTGTACTGGGTGCTCTTTAAAGGAGTATTTCAATACATAAGCTACAAAGTAAAAGGAAAAATGAGTCAGTGGAATTTAGAATAAATGTTATATATATTTATTTATCTTATGAGTGTTTATGATGGCATTTTATGTAATATCTTTTCTATATTAATCTCTGTCATTGCTGTTAGGAAGGTAATTCATTTGCATGTGCACATTATTTGCCAGTGATATTTTCTAAATGAAAAGTTTAGCATCAGTGAGAAGTGACTGCTTTCCTAGGGTTGTGACCCACCCAGCTTCCCCCCCTCCCCCTCCCCATTTTGGGTGGCTTTGCAGGTGTTAAACAGGATAGCGCTGAAGCAGGAGGGTCTGACTACCAAAGATATCACTCTCAGAGCTGTTTTAGTTACACTTCATCATCATAAGCATATGGTTTCACTTCCAAGTGTTTAACATTTCCATTTCCTCAGGAAATCATTCTTTCTATTTTTTAAACTTTTGAAACTGGATGGATATTTTTACTGGCAGGGGGACCACGAGCGACACGACG